GAGAGAGAGAGAGAGAGAGAGAGAGAGAGAGAGAGGTGGAAATAGATGAGTAAAACAGAGCATGACTATTATATTTATGGCTGTTCGTTCTTTTTTTTTTTGTTGTTGTTATTGTTGCTGTTGTTGTTGAAGCGTGTTAACATCCCGGACGGCCATCAGTCTTGAAAGTATTATTAATATTATTGCGAATTTACTTTTGCGTATGGCGCACTGTTGAACCTGAGGCACGCTATGCATTTTCGTTTTATCGACATATACTGCTTCTGCCATTGTGAATTGTTATTATTTTACTCTTGTTACGCTTTAGGGTTTGGTGTGTCTCGGGTAAATAGGGCCGTAGTCGCCGCCATCACAAGTTGCTGTTGCGCTCGGGTTAGATAATAAACTGAATAACTTTCGTGGGTGTACAGCAGAAGGAATTTCAGGGAGCGAAGAAATAAGCAATTAATTTTACACACATACAAGAAAAATTAAAAACTAAAATGGCAACAAAGGATAAAAAGTCGTTTAAGAAGTATGCCAAAAAGCATTTGGCAACTGTGATTGAAAACCGTCGTAAGACCGTCAAAGCTAAAAAGGAAAAAATTGAACGTGTTGAGAAGAAAAAACTGCGTGAGGCCAAAGAGGCCCAGCGTGAGGAGCGTGAACACCAAGAGCAGTTGGAGCGTTTGAAGGACACGGATCCGGAGTTTTATTCCTACTTGGAGGAGGAGGACCCTACACTGTTGCAGTTTGGTGAGGACATGGAAGTTGTGAATGATGACGAGGGGAGCGACGCTGAGACGGAGGTGGATGATGAAAATGAAAGCCACAACGACGACGAAGAGAAGGAGGGAGGCAGTAACAGTGAGAAAAACGCCAAAGATTCCTCTGCGTCTCGTATTACCCGAGAGGAAGTAGAGCGTCTTGTCAAGGGGAAAAATATCGAGGCATGCATCGATATTTTTGCGAGTGCCGTACGCGAGTTGGGGTATACTGTTAGGGAGAATCCCAAGACGAGTTCAGTGCGTAAGTTTGATGATCCGTTGTTGGTAAAGGAGTCAATGTTTCGCATTGCGCGTTTCATCGGATCAAACCTGAGTCACTTTATTACTGGAAAAGGTTCATTTAAGTCACACAAGACTCGTTTCTTGATGCGGCGATTGCTACTTTTTCTTGTGACTAGTGTATCGGAAGGGGGGAGCGTGGACGCCGTACTAACAGCTGGTTTACTTCATGCCTTAACACCCTTTGTGCCGATACTGCACTACATAAAAGGTATTACGAAGTCTGTTTTGAAAGCAGCCCTTTTACTCTGCTCAGCCCCAGAAGAGTCAGTTCGTATAGCAGCCTACGTTGTTGTTCGAGCAGTTGCAACACGTGCCACAGGGACACGCTCCATGTATCAGTCGACTGCCTTTAAGGGTATATTTCTTACTCTTGTAAAAACAGCTCACCATTACAACATCCACAATGCGTCATTGATAGCATTCCTTATAAACTGTGTTGTTGACTTGTACGGTACAGACATGGAGGCTGCATACCAACACACTTTTGTCTACCTTCGTCAATTGGCAATTTACCTTCGTTCTGCATTACAACAGCAGACTCAGAGTAACGTAAGAGCCGTGGTAAACTGGCAGTACCTGAATGCATTACGTACATGGGGTGCCGTCCTCTCAAAGTATTCTGAGGCGTCACAGATGGGACCCCTTATTCACCCTATGGTTCAAATTTCGGTTGGGCTAATGGATCTATTTGCATCTCCTCGCATGTTTCCTATGCATCTACAGATCATAGAGATTCTCAACCACATTTCTCTCCGTGCTGACGGAGTCTTTATTCCGGTGGCTCCGTACCTTTTGCGCATATTAACTTCACCGAGTATTGCCTTAAATCGCAATTACCAAGGACAAGGGGAGAAAGGGGAACAAGTGGACTTGCAGTTTACAATTCGTGTGAAAAAATCACAGATGCGTAGCGTAAGCTATCATTTACATGTCTGGTCTGAGTGTATTTATCTCCTCTCAGAGCATTTGGCAACACATAGCCACACGCTTGGGTTTCCAGAGGCTTTCTGGGTGGTGGAGACGACGCTTAAACAGTTGCGTAGCGAGGTGAAAATACCGAAGGTTCATGCACAATTGAGTACTCTCCTGCGCCACATACAAACAACTAGTCAGCGTATTATCGCACGACGCGATCAGGTAAGCATAGGTCCCTGTGACTTGGCGGCAGTAAAACAGGTAGAGGATGAATTAAAAGCTGCTGGTAATCCGTTATCAACGTATCATCAAATGCTTCGCCAGCAACGAGTCGAGCTGTTTGCGATGAAGCAGAAGAATGTGAATGGTGGGGAACGTACGACTTTAGAGGCGATTGTTAATGGAAGGAGAGAGAAAAAGAGCCGTAAGCGTACATTAAGCAACATTGACGCTTAAGACGCCGCCACCACCACCACCACTATCAGCAGCAACTCAAAGACCATATATATATATATATATATATATATATATATATAG